CCACAACTGGTACTATCTTCCGTGATTGAAATCCTTACTGCCCAACCCCTCTGTTTTCTGTCAGTTGCCAGACCCTTCCTGATGTTTCTCCCTGCTCTGTTCACCCAGAGTCTCATAGTGGACCATCACATCTACCCTCGATTTTGTTATGTTTATTTGCGAGCATTCTCTTTACTTTTAATAACTTACTGCTTTAAAAAAAATCACCAAAATTCCTTTTCGTGAAGATGGGGCCAACAGCAAAAAATGGAAGCCTCTACCCCTCCAAAGCCAAGGCTTTGAAGGCCAAAAATGTAGTGTTGAAAGGCATTCACAGCCACACAAAAAAAGATCCGCATGTCACCCACCTTCCGATGGCCGATGGCCCACCCCACAACACTGCTCTGAAGGCAATCCAAATATCCTCATAGGAGCACCCCTCCCCCCAGAGCCTCCCTGGTGGCCTAGAGGTTGTCTCAGTGCTATCCACATGGTGTAGCAAATCTCTCCCTGCCTCACCTGCCGCTTCCCTCAGCAGTGTATTTCAGTCATTCCACCTGCTCTGCTCCCCACTCTGACTCTGGTGAATCCTCTCACCTTCCCCCCCAACCCTGGCCTGTACCCAGTTCTTCTATGCAAAAATAAATTTTAAAAATTTTTTAGAAGAGTCCCTCCCCCCCTGAAGAAACAAGCTTGACCGCTGAGCCATCATCAAGTTCCCTCTGACACTGAGTCAGCCATGAAGAAGACAGAAGACAATAAGCATATGCGTGTTCATGGTGGATGGCAAGGCCAACAAGCACCAGATCAAACAGGCTGTGAAGAAGCTCTATGACATTGATGTGACCAAGGTCACCACCCTGATCAGAGAGAAGGCATATGTTTGACTGGCTCCTGGTTAGGATGCTCTGGGTGTTGCCAAGAAAATTGGATCATCTAGGGCCTCCCCAGTGGTGCAAGGGGTTAAAAGTCTCAGCACTATGAAGTTATCAGCAGCCACTACAGCATGAGTTTGATCTCCAGCCAGGGAGCTGACTCATATGGCACCACAGACCTCTCTTGTCTCGCCCACTGCTCCCCTCAGCAGTGTATTTCAGTTAATACACCTGTTCTGCTCCTCACTCTGTCTCTGGTGAATCCTCTCTCTCTCTCTCTCTCTCTCTCACACACACACACACACACACAGACAGACACCCCCACACATCCCCTCCCTGCATCTCTGGCCCACACCCCAGCTCTTGTATGCATAAATAAAATCAATCTTTAAAAAAAATTGGATCTTCTAAACTGAATCCAGCTGGCTAATTCTAAATATAAAGTTTTTCACTATAAAAAAATCAGCAAAACTATTCAATTTAAACAAATGTTTCCTGAGGTCTTCATACATGCTCTTCCATCTCTTTGGAATACCCTTGGCCCATTCTATTCGCCCAAAGACCTCTTACTCCTCATTCAGGAATGAGCAGAAATTAATCAGGAGAAAAGTAAACCGCAATGATATACCACCACACATCCATCCAACTGGCAAAATTAAAGTGTCTGACAATACCAGGTATAGACAGGCCAGTAAGGATTTTGAGATAAGGGGGTTCTCTTGGATTATTTGGGTGGGCTTTAAATACAATGACATATATCCTTATCAACGGTGTGATACACAAACTATTTATAGGATATTCATAAAAATGAGTCAACTACGAATAAACACCACATGGGAGAATCTCACAAACATGACAATGAACAAAAGAAACCAGACACAACAGAAAACATTGTACGATTCCATTTATATCCAGTTCAGAGAGAAAATTAACTATATAACTGAGTAACATAAAACTAGAATGTAAAGAAAAGCAAGACATTATTACTGTTAAAGCCAGGATGGTGTTCCCAGCTCTTCCCAGGGGAGAAAGGGGGTTGTGATGAGGAAGGAGCACTTAACAGAAGGGTGGCTGGATTCTGGGGTGCTTATAATGCATTTCTTAACTTTGCTTTACACACGATGTTCTACAACTTATTAACGGTACATTTATGCTTTATGTTGTTTTCTGAGTTATATTTCACAATTGAAATGTTTCTTGGTAATGACGACGGTGTTAACTTTTAATAGAATTAACAGGAGGCATCCCAATCCACGAAGCCTTCCTGCGTCCCTCCCCCCATGTTCCCTGGGCTCCTCCAACCTCTGCTGCTGGTTCAGCCACTAACTAACCTGGGCTGCGACCCACACTGTCCCAGTCTGGCTCACCCAGCCGCCCAGAGGCGCTCCAGGGCCAGAACCCAGGCGAGCGTCCCTCAGGGCCCAGCAGAGGCCAGCGCAGGGCCGGGTAGGCAGGAGGCCCCAAGCTTGCATGTTACTGCCTTATCATCAAGGTGTCTGCCAGCATGTGGGGACAGGTGGCTGCTGACCAAATGAGGGGTGCTTGCTACTGCATGGCCACATACCTTTGCTTCTGCCTATCCGCCTACATCCCATTCAGTTAAGTTTCCTAAGGTCTTCCAGAGGGTTGTTCTGCCCGGAACGCCCCCGCTTGTCATGCTGTTGAACTCCTGCTCATCCTTCAGGGGCCAGCCTCAGGCGCCTCTGTGAGACCATGGCCCGCTTCTTCGGGGCTCCTGCGGACCCTTACTTTCCTTAACAGGGTCTTTCCAGGCCCCGGCCCACAGAATATTGCTCGACTTCTGAAGCTTTTTGATGTCCCTGAGTTGTCCTCATGACCTGTGTCTGACATACTCTGGGACTTGAGCTTCTGTCAGACCGCCCTGGCGCGGGCGCGGGCCCTGGCAAATCCAGGCAAGCTCCACAGCGCATGCGCCCAGGGAGGCGCTGGCAGAGCAAACCTTGCCTCCGGTTCCCATTAACGCCAAATCCTGGAACCCAGTGCGCCTGCGCAAGCTCCAAAGTCCTCAAGGGCAGGCTCCGTCACTTCCGGCAGGCACGTGCTACCGAGGACGGTTCCGAGGCTAAGAGGAGAGCGGAAGAGGCAGGGGCGGACAGGAGCAGGGGGCCATCATGATGAGGCCCCAGGACCTGGGGGTGAGGTGCGTCCCCAGATTTAGCCCAGTAGGTGGGAACCTAGTGGATGCCTGGGCTAGAAGCGGCTCCCACCCCTAAGAACGCTACGCCCCGAGAAGAGAAGGGCCCTAAGTCTTGGAAGATCGTGGCAAGAAAGCCTGCTCCATCTCGCTAAGCAGAGTCCCCAGCTAGAGGGAAGGTGAAAGAGAGAGGAAGCCCCCACCTGTCCCCAAGCGGTGTCCACTAGGGGAGAGCTGCGCTCTGCCTCAGTGCTGCTTCCTCTCCCTCAGGCAAGTCACTTCCCTTCTCAGCCCATTTCCTGTCAAAATGGTGGTAAATGCCTACTTCACGTAAGTTGGCAAAGTATTAAGCCATTCCTGTGTGCCCAGCAGACCTAAAGCCCCTCCCAGTGAAAGTAAAGAGACAGTCTGGGGTCACAGCAACTAGTTGGACTTGCTGTCGACTCCTGAACAGACTCAACTAGATTTACTGTTCCATCCCTATACATCTGCATAGGCCAGGGGTCCAGGACAGGTGCCCAGGTGCGAGCAGTGGTGTCCATTCCCCCAGGACAGGCAGCAGTTGGAATCCTTGCTTACCTCACTCCCAACTCCCTAGCCCTAGTTCCCTTTCCCCTCAGGAAGGAAAACTCGGTATTAGGTAAGAAATTTGAGTTCCTAAGTGCTTGAACACGAGGTGGGGGAGGCCACCAGCTCAGCTGGAGGCCACTGGGTAACAGAAAATAGGGTTTAGCCTCAGGAGGAAGAGATAAATGTCCAGGTGTGAAGGGTGGGGAACGATGAAGGGCTCCAGGAACAGAACCCTGGCTGCTGCTGTTTTGCTTCCAAACCTTTGGGCTTAATCAGCCTTGCAGGTAGCTGGCCCACCTCACTGAACCAGATAAAGATACTCAACTGCTAAGACATACAGGAACAAAGCATGTGAAGATGGGGTGGGAAGAAGTTATAATTCAAGGCAGTATTCCTCCTTTGACAGGTGAAGAAAATGAAGTCCAGAGAAGAGGGCGAGTTGGGGTAGCAGCTGGCACGTGATGGCCTGGTATCGTGTCCCCCCCCCCTCCCCAAGCCTGCTGGCGGGCCAGGAACTTGGCTTGGTGCTGGGCTCAGGCTCTCATCTGCTCCTTCCGCCAGCATATAAACAAAGAGTTCCAGAGCCTTGATGCCCACCAATGCCCCTTCCAGGGCAGTTTTATTGGCGCCATTTGTAAAAGGCCTTCCCCATCAACCCCCAAGGCCTTGCCTTCCCTTTCCAAAAAGGTAGTTGGTTTCTGGTCCTGAGCCCCTTGGCAACAGCAAGCCTTGGTTTGCTGCTACAGCAACACAGTTGTAACACTCCGTGTGCAGAGCTCTGGGGGGTAGGAGGTGGCAGAGAGCCAGATCTGTGTGTGGAAGCTGGGCAGAGCCTGGATGGCTACAGAGATGTGTGGGCAAGGTGAGCAGGCCCCCTGTGCACCCCAGCTCCATTGCCTATTGGTGTGGCTCCATTGCCTATTGGTATGCCCCCCAGTGGGGGCAGTAAAATCAGAGATCCTGAGAGAGAAGCCCTTAGGCCAAAGAAGTATGTGGAGCAGGCCAGGGCAGAAGGTGGGGAGATTTCAGAGGGGGTGACGTGCGTGTGTGCATGTGTGTGTGTATGTGTGTGTGTGTGTGTGGGGACAGAAAAAAGATGGGGGTGTGTGCAAGCATGCACACAGCCAGAGTCAGGGATGTGATGTGCAGGAGGCCTCTGGAAGACCCTTGGCCTCCTGAAGCTGAAGGAACACACCTTGGGGTGGGGAGGTTGGGAAGGAAACTCAGCTGGAAGTGGTTTAGGCCTCAGAGCCCACATCCTGTGGGAGGGGCTGTCAAGGGGCCAGGCTGTCCAGGGGCCTGGAGCTCTGGCACAGTCCTCTTAGCTGCTGGAGTGACAGTCCTCAAGGGGCAGAAATGGTCTTCGTCCTCCGAAGGGAGAAGGTGGCCCCGAGGCTAGGAGGTGGGGTCAGTCCTGCCACATCCAGGATCAGGAGGCCTCACTCGAGCGCCGGCTCCCCTCTTCCTCCATCAGCAGCAGGCGGCGCCGACCAGCCTCATAGTCTGCCTCGTCCACACTGACCAGCAGGCGGACAGCCTCCCGGCCCACAGCCTCACGCAGGGCCTCAGTCAGGAACACACCCCGCAGGGCCTGGAGCAGGGCGCCACTCAGGTAGTCGCCCCAGAAGGCGTCCAGATAGGAGAGCTCTGAGAACTTGATGTCGCATACCACAGACCCCAGGTCCCTGGAGCGCAGCACCGCGGTGGCCTGCCCAAACACATCCAGCTGCCGGGCCAGTGCCTGGGGCCGACGAGAAGCCACACCCTGCTCCAAAGCGGGCCCATGCTCGCAGTACTCTGCTCGCACCCTGAGCCTGATATCTGTGGAGAAGGAGGGACACATCAGGGAGGGGCCAAGACCCCACACTGCACGGGGGTCCAGGGGGACTGCTGCCCTGCCCCCTCCCTTGGGCCTCTTCCCACAGGCTCCGCCCCGTCTCCCACCCCCACCCTGGGTTGCAATGCACCTGCCCCACATCCTTCCCCTCTGGTAACCACACCCAAGTATGGGTGACACATGGCTTCCCTGTTACCTCCTGACCTGGGACCTCTTCCTCTTCCCTTCATGTGCCCCACTCCATCCTCACCCCCATCCTGGCTGCTCCCCCACCTCTAGGCACCCCTAGCCTGGCTCTGGTCCTGCCTCCTTCAGACTCCACAAGACTTGCTCCCTCTCTTCCTTCAGGTTTCTGCTCAGATATCCCTCACCAATGAGGCTAGTGCCCTCCCTGGCCCAAAGTATTCCAAGTTCCCCATACCCTGCACCATCTCTCCCCAAGGCACTTGCACTTTCTAGCCCACTCTATGCTCCCTTACTGTCTTGCTGACTGCCGCGGACCAGCCTGTCTCCCCCCACCAATGTGAGCTCCCCGAAGGGATTTGTGTCTGCTTTGGTCAATTAATAGCCTGGTGGTACACAGTGGGTGCTCAGTATGTACTTGTGAAAGAACCACTTGAATGGACTAGCCTTTAGGCCTCAAACAATGAAATTCATGTGGGGCCACCCCCCAGTCAGACCCCCAACTGACCAAGCCAGCAGGGCCCACAGACACAGGTGAGAACAGGGCTGGCTCTACCAGGAAGCAGGTGCTCTTTCTACAGAGGCTAAGAGGTGGGTGATAAACCCATAGCTGCTGGGGGCCATTCTGCCACCAAGAGGGAGAGAAAGAAGCTGATACAGGGATGATGATGTAGAAGAATCATTCCTGGGTTCAGTGGCGAGCCCCAGATCACCTGAGTTTTCAGCTACAGTTAATTCTCTTTTTTGCTTAAGCCAGTCTGAGTCTGTCATTCACAAGCCTGCCCTCATCCGCCCACATGAGGTGGCATCTCTGCACAGGGGACAGGAAGCATGACTTCTGAGGCTATCCCTGTAAACCTGACCTCGGGCCTATCGTCTCCCTGTGTGACTACTGACTCCCTACCTGTGAAACTGGGCCACTCACAGAACCTCCTCTCTGAGGATCAGCTCTGAGCTGAAATAACTACAGCAGCCAACACTACAGAGCACTGACTATCTGTGAGGTGCCACCCCATGAGCCAGACTCTCTCACAAACTCATTTACTCCATAAATGGCTCTGCTATCTCCCCTAAATTATAGATGAGGAAATGGCAGTAAAGAGAAGTGAAGTGGCCTGCCCAGGGTTGCACAGCCAGGCAGTGGCAGTGCTTGGCAAAGGTCATGGAGCCTCCCAGGCCACAGAGAGCAGCACTGGGTCACAGGAGTCAATTCTTGTGTCTCAAGCACTAGCTGTGTGACCTGCGTCAAGCCACAACCTCTCTGAGCCAGGATTTCTGCATAAATTAGGAGACAATCCCTGCTGGCCAGGGCTACTAAGAGGACAGAAAAGAGCGATGGCTAGAAAGGACGTGGCTAGCACTGCAGCTCCAAACACAGCAGCCACCAACAGCTCTGATGTGCCAAATGGTTAACCCCGGGGGGTTCTCACAGTATCTGCCCCATGGGGTTGGAGCCATGTGCAACCCATCACCAGATAAGGAAACTGAAGCTCTGGGAGGGGAAGTGGCATGTCCCAGACTCCCTTCACCTTTCGGACTGTGTCAACAGCAGAGCAGAAATTAGAAGGCAGGTCACTGCTCCCCCAGGCAACCTTTCCGTACCAACCACTTCCTCCTCCCACCCCAAACCCCAAACCCTTCCTTTTCTGCCTTGAGGGGGAACCTCACCCTCTCTGCTCGAGGCCCAGCACACCCTGCCCAGCCTTGGCCCCAGCCTTGACTGCTGTGAGTGTCTGGCCATGCCCTCAATCAGCGGGGGCTGGGCGCAGGGGACAGGGAGGAGCAGCACCTGTCCAAGGCCACACGGGGTGCTCAGTGGCAGAGGCACAGAGCCAGGTGGCGGAGTCCGACAGACCTTGAGGCGAGTCCCAGCTCTGCCACTCTCTAGCTGTGGGGCCTTGGGCATGTGACCTCACCTCTCTGAGCCTCAGTTTCCCCACCTGAAAAACATAAACAAACAAGAGGTCCCTGCTGCATGGTGGGATTATGAGGATCAAATAAGGCAACTCATGAAGCACTTGACCCAGATTACTACGACACAGAAGACACCCAGAAACAGGAACCATGATTCTGACACGCACCTCTCCACCCCCATAGCCCCTAGCCAACTTTGTTCTCTCTAGTCTGAGCCCCTCCCTCATCAACTCCACTCCCCTACCCTGCCCTCCAGTCACAAGGGAAGTTTTCCAGCACAAGCCTTACTCACAAAATGACCTGTCCATCTCCCCTACCCAAGATGCCTCCATCACCCACCAAGGCTGAGATCACAGGACCCCACATCTTCTCACGTAACCCCCCTCGCAGATCCCTGTCTCCTCAGCACAGGTTGTTACCTGACCTGCAGCATAAACTGTCTATCCATCCAGAGTCCACCCCCAGCATGGGGAGGTTCTAGAAGGAGGATAGGGCCAGGTCAGACTCCTGTGTGTCCCCATTCACTTTCACTCAACAGACATTTGCTGAGTGCCAGAAATGCCCCACTGAAAATGGGACCAGAAGATGCCAGCTAGGGAGTGCTTGCCACCTTGGCCCTTGTGTCATCCTCTACAACTGAGGAACCTTTTCACCAGACCACAGTCTGACCTCTGGCGTGGTACACAGGAGGAGAGGATTGGGAGGTCCTACTAGGGGAAGGGAAGACAAGCATGATCTGAGCCACCTCCGCAGCCCTGAGTCACATGTATCACATGCAGTCTCCCGCACAGACTATTTACTGCAAGTTGCACACACCTCACCTCCACAGACTCTCTTAATCGTCCCTGAAACCTAATGGGGCAGTGCTGTTATTCTGCTTGCAGATGGAGAAACTGAGACTCAGATCATGCGTCACCTGCCCAAGGCCACACAGCAAGGAAGTGGCAGGGCTGGAATGACCAACTGAGACACCTGGCTCTAGAGGCTGAACTCTTAACTACTCCTATCCTGTTTGCTGCCTCTCACCACCACACACATAAATCTATAATTAAAAGACATCCCTAAGGCCAGGAGAGAAAATTATAGAGCATGAGTTGTCATTTAGATTGCAATGATCAGAGGACCTCTCCAGGACATGACATTGGAAGTGACAAGTGAAGGAACACAAGTAGGTTGAGACACAGAGAGGGAAGAATGCCATTCCCAGAAGACAGAAGAGTATGTGAAAAAGTCCAGAGGCAGAAAATGAACTTGGGGACTGAGTGCCAGTGTGGGTGGGTCACAGTGTAGGAGGGGGGCACAAGGGGGCAACTGGAGGGGCGGGACCAGGTGTTGACCACGGCACCCCCCCATCCCCACCCCGCATACCTCAGTGGAGGCCACCTCCTTAGAACCAGGCTCAGCTTAGCACCTGCTGTGCAGAGTGACTGAGGAGACAGCATGGCTGGATGCGGGTGAAGGGCTGCTGCCTGGCACATAGCAAACCCTCCAAGTGCAGCAGGAGGATGTGATCTCGGGCGCTGGGTTGACTCCAGCTGTTCTGCAGAAGCAGCCCAGTGTCAGGAACAGGACCCAGGGCAGCTATCAGAAACAGCGAAGTGGCCAGTGCAGAAGGGAAGAGCAGATATGGGTGGACTAGCCCTGGTGTGATGGCCAGGGAGGGGCGGGAAGAGCATCCAGAATAGTCACCTGGCTGGGGGCCAGCTACACGCTTTCCTCTGGCCACAAACACCAAGAACTTGTACATGGTCCCTCCCCATTCCGGAAGCTATAGGGAAATACTCCCAGGCTCTGGGTGGAAGGTGGACTGTGCCTTCCTCAAAAGAAGAGCTACCCTAGCTTCCTGCACTCAGGTGGACCCCAGCACCTCCTAGTTCCCCAACCGCATACCTATTCCATCTCTATTCTGGGACATAATGGGACACAGGGAAATGGGAGAAGCTTCCAGTAGAGGACCAGGGAAAGTAGGAGGGACAGGCCCTGGGTCGGGTGAGCAGATGAACAGCCTCATGGGGCAGTCCCTGGCCTGGATGCTGCTGGGGATCGGAGAAGAACTCTGCTCGGGCTCTCCCCCAGGAGTTCCTGTGCTCCCATGGCACATGGTGGGGAGCAGAGGTTAGCATGCTCAAAGGGAAAGACCCCTGCCCTCAGCTGCCGCACCAGAGCCAGCTCCACCCTCCTCTAGACATCCAGTTTCTTCTCCAAGATGCAGCAAGAGTCATATGCCAAATGTAAAGTTCTATTAAACTATCAAACTCAGGCAGTAAGAGGTAGTGACCAGACAGAGAAAGCTAGGCAGCCAAGGCCTGCTCAGCCTCGTGGAAGAAAACGGTACCTTAGGAATCTGACCAAGGCCCTCCAGACACAACCACCAACTTTCAGTAGCACAAACAAGAGGGAGACAACCCTACCACAGGATGCAACCCAAAACTCCCAGCCTATGGAAAACACTCCAAGACACAGATGGTGTGGGAATCCTCTAGATTAGGGGAGATTTAAGAGAACCAAAATTTCTGAGACCACTGGAAATCTGTCCATTGATTAGCTATTTGGTGGTAAGAAATAATTAAATTTTCTGGAGTGATCTCTTTTTTTTTTTGAAGAACTCTTGTCTTTAAAGAGAGCAAAAAATCCACAGATGGAACAACAGGACCCCCGGAAATGACTCTAACACAGTATGGTTGATGAAACGCGATCAGTCACGACTTGACAACTGCTGAAGCTAGGTGGCGGGGAGCCAGGGTTCATTATGCCTGTCTATTTGCTTCTGCATCTTTTTCACAGAAAACAGGAGTGGAAAGGGCAAAGCTCATCCTGTCAGTCATTCAAATCCTCTGATCACTTTCAAAAAAAAAAAAAAAAAAAAGTCCAGCCTTGGTCTGTGGCTCACAGGTACTGAAGGTTGGGCCCATCATCTCTCCTCTCTTACCCCAGTCCCCCTTCCCATCCAGTCTGCCCCCTTCCTCCTCATAGTTTCACCACCACTGGCACTACTCAGCCTTGGCTCCTGCTGGCCCTCTATCTGGAACATTCTTCCACAGTCATCCTCAGGCTTGTTTCCTCTCCTCTGAGAGGCCTTCCTAGATTACCACCCAATCTTACAAACAGGTTGAAATGGCATTTCCATCACTCTCTACCTTCTAGTCTAACATCTAAACTTTTTCTCTCTCTTAGATTGCTCCTGTCACCAGAACGCAAGCTCCACAAGGGCAAGCCCCACACACAGCAAAATGCTTTGTAAATACACATGGAATAAGCAAATGAAGGGATCCAAGTTTCAGATCGAGTTCAGCCTAGCTCTGCTCCTGTCACTCACTAGTGACTTCCCTTCCCCAGCCTGCTTCCTCGTCTGTACAGTGGGAGATGTCACCCCTACCTCAATGGCTATCTGGAGAAGTCAAGGCCAGGCTAGTAGCACCCTCAACACAACCCCTGGTGGTGGGTGCTACTGAAAGGGACATAGAAACTCAAAGGTCCTTGTTGCAGTCTGGACCTGGATCCCCAGGTCCCCCTCCTCAGACTCTGGGTACTTGGACTTTAGTCTGGTTCTGTCAGCGAGAGTCAATTCTCACAGCTGTCAGAGGTGAGGAGGAGGCAAGAATGACAAACCTCTTCCTCGATCAGGTCTGGGGGTCTCCTTCCAGCCCTAGGATTAAGCCTCATTCAAGGCAATCCGCCCCCACTTTCAGAGGGGAAAGCCAGGTCCTCCTGGGGACAGCCTCACTCCAGCCCCACCCTGCTGGTGAGTCAGCAGTCAGACCTGTTACCCATCCCTCTTCAGACCTCGCCACACCCACACTAGGCTTACCACCTCCCTGCCATGGCCCTGCCCTCAGGGAAGAGACCAGAAGACTCTACTGGCAATAAGACCCATCCCACCCTTAGCTCAGCTGCATCCTAGGAAGGCAGTGACTCCCTCCCTGCCCAGCCAGCCTGGTGTTCTAGTAATTACCACCTGACCTGGGGAAGAGTCCCAGGCACGCGGCCACCCCCTCAAGCCCGTGCTGTCTAAGGACACGAGCCAGCTCTCTTGGTCTGCTCCTGCTGGCAGCACCCAGCACAGGTATGTGCAGCCTCATCTCTAGAGTGGATATGACGCCAACAGCCTAGAAGGCCGCAACGAGCACTAGGGGAGGCAAGCTTGTGTGCTTTGTAGACTAGAGAAGCTTCTGCAGATGGTGGGAAGAAGCACCCCCAGGCATAGGTCTCCTGGGGAATGCAGAACCACCCCCACCTCCATATTCTTGCCTGCAATTCCACCACCTTCCCCTGCATGAGCACCTCACCACTGATTCCTTCTATGTCCCAGGTTTGCCCAACCCAGCAAAGGAGGTACCAGAGGAGTATATATAGGGTATGTGTGCCCCACCCATGCCTATGTCCTCACCCCGGGACAGCAGAATTTCTCAAAGGCAAGGTCTGAGCATAAGCTTCCACAACAGAGCCCCCCAACCTGTTTGTAGGTCTAGCGAGCCTGATGTCCAAAATGGTCCATATAATCTCCTTAGTAGGCCACCTCCTCACCTCCTCTACTATGGCTCCACCACCAGATCTCTGCCCTCTCCTCAGGATTGGACTTCATAGCCTCGCCAATAATTTATCTACTTCTACTTTAATTTACTCAACACACACGTGACTAAGCACGTGTAACATGCCCAAAGCAGTTCCTAGCATCTTACAAGTCACATCTACTAACTGATTTCCTTGATGGATAAGAGTTCCTTTAAAAACAGGTATCAGATCACCTCACTCCCCTGCTTCCAACCTGTTGATAGCGCTTGCTGCATGGAATGAAATTCAAACTCCCATCCAAGCCCACTGCTCAGCCCTTCCCAGTTTCTCCATCTGCTCTCTAACCTCCCTTAGCAGCACTTATTATCCAAGTCAAGTTTCACTGTCACTCATCTGTCTCCCTAACTAGATGTTTACCTCCGCAAAGGCAGGTACTCTCCCCAAGCACACCATACAGTAACAAATGTGTAGCATGGACCCTAGGCCAGTTGCTCCCAGTGTATTACATGGGTTCATTCATTTTTTTCTCTTAACAACCCTAATTGGAAGTATCAGTGCCAGCTTCATTTTATAGATATAGAAACTGAGGCACAGAGGGTTCGTTCACCTGAGGCACAGGAGTTCGGTCACCTGCCCAAGATCAGAAAACTTAACTACCAGGGCTATGATATGAATCTAACTCAAGAAGCCTGTCTCAAGATCCTTGTTTTTACCCCTGCATTATTCAACCAACACAGACATAACCATTCTTGACTAAGTAAACGCCTGTAAACGTTTGCTGAGTAAAGAAACGAAACTGGGGACAAGAAGTTGTCAGGGGGCCTCCCCGGTGGTGCAGCAGATGGAGCACTTGTGAAGCTGTCCACAGCCTCTGCAGCGTGGGTTTGATTCCCGGCCAGCCAAGGAGATACCCATATGGCGTGGCAGACCTCCCCTGCCTTGCCCGCTGCTCCCCTCAGCAGTGCTTTCGGTTCGTCTGCCTGTTCTGCTCCCCACTGTGTCTCTGGTGAACCCTCTCACCGTCCCGTGATCCTGGCCTGTACCCCAGCTCTTGTATAAATAAATAAATCTTTAAAAAAAAAAGTTGTCAGGGAAGGCTTCCTGGAGGAGGTGGCACATGACAACAATGGGCGAGAAATAGACCAGACAGGACAAGGATTCCACTGTGTTGTACAGATGGCTGAGAGCACAGCCTACCCGCTAGGCATGCCACACCCCTGGTGAGTGTCAGTGTCTTCCACCCTCTGGCTCTGCAGCCTGCCATGGGCACTGTTAAGGCATTTCCCAGAGCCCACAGACACCTACCACAGGTCACTTTGCCTTCTGATGGGGACCTGGCCGGTTCCTGCTGCTGCTGGGAGGCAGCTGGGGCCCCTCTACGCCGCCGTCTGGCGCCACCACTGGGCCGGCCCCGACACCGCCGTTGCCGCTTGGTGGGTGGGGAACCTGGGAAGAGAAAGATGGACCAGGATGACAAACAAAACACTAAGGTGGGTGCCCTGTGAAGAACTTGAGCTTAGCCTTCGTGCCATGAGATGCTGGGTGAGCCCCTCGGCTGGGCCTGTCCCTAAGGGGGCTCCTACCTAGCATGATCTAAAAGGGCAGAGGAGCACACCTTACTTACCCAGGTGTGACCCTAGAGAAAATCCTGCCCCAGGAGACAAACATGACAACACCCACTGGGGCACTGCTTATAGTTTATAACCTATTGTTTACGGTTTATAACCTGTAAACTAGAAAACAATGAAAATGTCTACGAAGAAGTATATAGAGTCACTTACAAAACATTGATTGTGGAAATAAAACAAGGTGCAAAATAAGTGTGTACAAATTGCCACATTTCGAATAAGGGAAAATAACAATATATACATATTTGCTACTTTTCCAAGATGACACACTGTAAGGAAAAGGTGGAAAGGAATGAAATTAATTACCTGTTCACTGGGGTGGGGAGAACAGTAGAAATAATATTTCCATAAATACTTACATACTTTAGTTCTCATTTTTGAGTCATGTAATTGTTTTAGAAATTAAAGAAATTAAAAGGAAACAAAAGAAACCATAAAATTAAACAAACGGGGGCCTCCTCGATGGTGTAGTGGGTTGAGCGCCACTGTGAAGCTATCCGCAGCTGCTGCAGCACAGGTTCAATTCCCGGCCAGCCAGGAAGATTTCCACATGGCACGGCAGGCCTCTCCTGTCTTGCCTGCTGCTCCCCTCAGCAGTGCTTGTTCTGCTCCCTGCTCTGTCTCTGGTGAATCCTCTCACCCTCCTATGCCTCTGACCTGTATCCCAGTTCTTGTATAAACAATAAATAAATCTTAAAAAAAAAAAAAAACAAACAGAAACAAGTGAACCTAACTCTATATATAATTGGTAACATGAACACTAGGTGAAAAAAAAAAATTACTTCAAGTAATTAGAAGAACACCCTGGCTAAATTCTCTGTAGGACAGACTCAGAGGACAAGAATCACCACAAATAAATCTTACATTTCATTCAATAGACACAGTCAGTGGTGGCAGTGAACTGTGCTGAAACTACTATATTATAGCAGTAAGTCCATATCTCAGTGTTATTAAGAATCAGGATTTTCGGGGCATCCCCGGTGGCACTGTGGGTTGAGGGCCGCACCGTGAAGCTGTCCGCAGCCTCTGCAGCACAGGTTCGACTCCTGGCTGGCCAGGGAGAAACCCACATGGCATGGCAGACCTCTCCTGCCTCGCCCGCTGCTCCCCTCAGCAGTGTCTTCAGTCTGTCTGCCTGTTCTGCTCCCCGCTCTGGCTCTGCTGAATTCTCTCACCCTTCTGTGCCTCTGATCTGTACCCCAGTTCTTGCATAAATAAATAAAAATCTTAAAAAAAAAAAAAAATCAGGATTTTCAGTGGAAGAGGAAAAAAAAAATCCTTGCAATTTTGAATTCATAATACTAAAAAGAACTTTTTTTTAAGATTTATTTTTATTTATTTATGCATACAAGAACAGGGGTAGGCCAGAGGAGGGGTGGTGAAGGATTCACCAGAGACAGAGTGGGGAGCAGAATAGGCGGAACCACTGAAATACACTGCTGAGGGAAGCACCGGGCAAGACAGGAGAGGTCTGCTGTACCATGTGGGTCAGCTCCCTAGCTGGGGATCAAACTCATGCTGCAGTGGCTGCTGACAGCTTGATAACACTGAGACTTGCACCTTGCGCCACCAGGGAGGCCCCAACAAGAACTTTTTTTTTAAAGAGTTATTTATTTATTTATACAAGAATCGGGGTACAGGCCAGATATGCAGGAGGGTAAGAGGATTCACTGCCTGTTCTGTTCCCCACTCTGTCTCTGGTGAATCCTCTCACCCTGCCTGTACCACCTTTGGCCTGCACCCCAGCTCTTGTATGCATAAATAAATAAATCTTTAAAAAAAAAAGATGCTAATATAAGTAGAAAATTTTCAGAAGCTTGCTATTTTATAAATGCCACTGTAATAATTGATTCAAGCAGGATCACCAATGGATGCCAGGCCCACTGGGGATGCTGATGGGGAACAGGGCGTGCTAATGTGTTATTCCATAGATTGTTTATTAACCATAAAGGGACAAAAAACATTCCTTTACAACAGGCGAATATTGCAGACATACCCCTTCACAACAGGAAAGCAGGACCTCACACCTCCCAATAGGCCCCAACATGGAGCGCACACAGTGTCAACCAAGGAGCAAGGCTCCCACAAACGTGCAGCCTGAATCTAACCAAGTCTCCAGATGTAGGTCCACTTCATAGGAAACATACAGGTCAGAGGGGCAAGTTAAATAATCAGATAGTAAATAATCATATCATCAGTAAATAATCAGATCATCAGTAAATAATCAGATCATCAGTTAAATAATCATCAGTAAATAATCAGATAGACCAGAAACAATCTGGATAGTCTACAGAACCAGTAGACTGGAAAGGTCAATACCTCAAAGTCATGGATAAAAGCTCAATACACTGCAACTCACATTTGAGTAGATCCTGAGTGGACACAATCTTGGGGAGATTTGAAAACAGACCATTAGGCTATCAGACGATTAGAATTTTGCAGGCAAGACAATGACCCCAGTGTAGGAGAACCTCCTTATTCTCAGGAGAGGCCTGTGATTTAGAAGCAAAGTGTCTTGGTGCCTATCATTTACATTCAAAGAGTTCCACAAAAAATCCAGAATTACTGGGCCCCCCCGGTGGCGCAGCGGTTGAGCGCTGTGTTGCGAAGCTGGCCGCAACCTCTGCAGCACCGGTTCGATCCCCGGCTGCTCCCCAGCCACCGGAGGAGGGTCCCACATGGTGCGCAGACCTCTCCTGCTGCCCGCTGCTCCCCTCAGCAGTGTACTTCGGTCCTTCTGCCTGCTCTGCTCCCCTCTCTGGCTCTGGTGAATTCTCTCACCCTCCCGCGCTTCTGACTGTACCCAGTGCTTGTATGTATAAGCAAACAAACAAATAAATATTTAAAAAAAAAAAAATACAGAATTACATATATACAAAAATATTAAGTGGCAAGGGGCCTCCCTGGTGATGCAAGGGGTTAAGTCAGCACTACGATGCTATCAGCAGCCACTGCAGCAGGAATTCGATCCCTGGCCAGGGAGCTGCTCCACATGGTGCAGTGGCCCTCTCCTGTCTCGCCCACTGCTCCCCTTTGCAGTGTATTTCAGTCAGTCCGCCTGTTCTGCTCCCCACGCTGTCTCTGGTGAATTCTCTCATCCCCCACACCTCTGGCCTTATATGCATAAACAAATAAAAAAATTAAGTGGCAAAATGTTAAAGTTACTGAATCTAGGTGGGAGATTTGAACAGTTTAATACTGTTGTGCTAAACTTGTACTTCTCCATATACTTGAAATTATGTTTGAATAATGAAAGGAGACTGGATATATTACTCAACATGAAAATTAAAGAACTCAAAGACACTCAACATGATTAAAACCAGAAACACAGAAACATACCCAGCAAAAACCTATTCATGTGAAGTATAAACCCATAATGTGATGCCATTTAGAGAAAGCATATAACCACAAGAAACAAATCTGTATGTTGCTTCTGGACACTTACTTGTGTAGTAACAATAAATACACAGACACCCACAAAGCAAAAACAAAAAAGAATGATCCCTTCTTTGATGGGCCAGGGTAGGGAAGGCCCATCAGTATTCAGAAGGAAGAGACAAGCACTGCCCTCATGTGCACCCAGCTGGGCTCACCTGTCTCCCACTGACCCTGCTGAGCATTTGAAGAACTGCTTGACTGGCGGCGGCGACGGCAGCTGCCCTCTGTTCTCTTTGCAGAAGAGCTGGAGGTGCCATAGCTATAGCGTTCTGGTGACACTGCAGGGGAATAAAGGTATTCACATTCCCTGGTTCCTCTCAGGTGCAGCCCTCAATCCCCCAAGAAAAACAACTGCCCCCCCCAGGTGCCCAAGGTCGAGCCCAGATACCCACTCCCTCTCAAATACTCCTGCCCAGCAGGTGCTCAGTGGGCCCCCACAACCCATCTCCAGCAATTCAACTGTCAAGGGTTTATTCTGTAAGTGCCGTCATGGCCGGGATCCCTGTAATGCTGCCCATCAACTGCCCCCGGCAATCCCTGAGCCCCCAAGGAGTAAGCAGACCTTTCTGTAAGTTCCCCAAATCTTCTCTTCCAGGACATATTTTTCCAAAATGCCACCACCACTTCTTCCCTAGTGCTGCCCTTTTCCTGCCCTTCCCATGGGCTTACTTGGGCAGGGCAAGGGCATAAGCCTGTTCCCCAGAATAGCCACTCCATCTCCAGTAACCCAGCCAAGTGCTGGAAAGCTCAAGGCCTAGGCACTCTGGGGTGCCTGCGCAGGCAACACTCCCAGCTCCTCACCTTCTCAGGACTGCCATCCTCCAGGAGTACTTCCACACAAGGACTAAGGGCAGCAAGTCTGGAGACAAACCAGCTGGGTTTGAAACCTGGCTCCCACACTTCAAACTGTATTATCTGCAGGCACGTGTGATGTGGCTTCTCGCCTACCTCTCTGCCCTTGCTGGGGTCCCCTTTACTCCAGCCACCCTGCTGCTGAAGGAGCCAAACTCATTCCTGCCCCAGGCCTTTCTTCTGCCTGTAATTTTCTCTGCGATCTATGTCCCGGAGCAGGGCTGACTCAGTTCAAATATTACCTCCTCAGAAAGGTTTCAATTGGTTACCTAATCTAAAGGGGTCTCTCTCTCTCTCCCCGTTCCATTACTTAGTTTTAATCTTTTTATAACCATATCTAAAAATAAGCTATTTATCTGTTTTACAGATTACTCTCCATAACAAGCGTCATGGAATAAATACCCTGTCATTGCCATCACCTGGTAAGGCCTGGGCCCAGCACACAGGATTCAGTTCTTATGTGTAGGCAAGTAGCTTAACTTCTGAGCCTGCTGATTTCCCCTTTCAGTGAGGACAGAAAAAGGACTTCCTCTTGAGATTACTGGGAGGCGATCAGGTGATAGTTCATGTGAAGGGCTTACCGCTGTGCCTGACATGCAATAAGCCCTCCATAAACCGTGGCTACCCCCATCATTATTCATGTGGCCAGCTGTCACAAGTTCACCCCTCCCAAAGCCATGCCTGCTCCCACTTGTCTTTCTCATTGATACTCTGGGAGGAGCGGGGAGTGGGAAGGGACAGAGGTTGTCTGATGAGGCACAGTCGGCTCCGGGCACCATGGGGGGAGGGGCCGGAGTGGGAGCCAGGCCCTCTTCCTCCCGGAAGTCGGTCACCCTCCCCTCCACCATACCTGGCCGGCGCCGCTTGCGCGCCAGGTGCGGTAGCAAATCGTGGCGGGCTAGGACGCGCAGGAGTTGCCCCAGCAGCCGCAGGTTGCTCTCGTCGCACTGCCCACGGCGCTCCAGCTCCAGCAGTAATTCCAGGCCGCTGCGGGCGCCACCCAGGCCGCCGGGGGCGCCGGGAGCCTCGTCCAGCAGGAAGGCCAGCAGCTCCAGTTCACACTCAGTCAGCTGCCCGCCCACCACCTCGAACATACGGTGAAGCGACAGCATCCCGTAGTAGTCCAGGCACTCATCCTCCTCCCAGCTTGGGGCCGGGGTCGGCCCGGACAGCGCCATACCCGGGGGAGGGGGGCGGAACAAGCTCAGAACCAGGGCCTAGAACCCACACAGCAGGGAAGGGACAGTGGTCAGCGACGCGGGGACCCGGACTTCACCCCCGCCAGTGCGCCTCCCCGGCCCTGGCCCGCCCGGCCCGGTCCCTCTCACAAGCCAACCCCACAGGGTCCCCCCTTTCCCCGGAAGGGAATGGTATCGCCCGAGGTCCCCTAGTAACAAGTCGAGACGCCAGACCCCGCTCGTCCGCGGACCAGCCGGGCCGGCAGAGCGCGAAAGCCCCTCCCCAGGTGGCAAGTTACCAGCCAGCCTCGCGACCCGACCCGCCGATTCGGTCCGAGCAAGCCCAGGGGCCCATCCCGGGGCGCCCTGCCAACTGCCCTTTGACTCCGGGTAGCGCTGCCCGGACGTGCCCCTTGGCTCTCTGCCCAGTGGTACTGCTCGATCACAGCCCCACAGCCCCGGGGAGGTGGTACCGCCAGAAAGTGACCCTCTGCCCCCTACAAGTGGGACCGGCCAAGCCCTTTCGCTCTACACAGGTGGTACCGTCCGAACCCGACCCCCTCGCTCCGTAAGGGCGGCACCGCCATCTCCCCAGCGCCCCGGAGGGCCCGTCCCCCCGCCACCAAGCGCCTTTAGGCCTCTCTGGGTCCTTACCGGATTTCGGCGTCCGAGGACTCCTGGGCGACGGCCGCAGCCACTTGTTTTGGATCTTTCTGGCACCTTCTCTATTATTACGCCTGCGTCACCTCGCCCCTCCTCCTCCTCCCAACTCGCGCAGGTGCGACCGCCACGCCCCTTCGGCGCAAGCGCAGAGAGAGACCTCCAAGCCCCGCCCCGCCCGGCCCCACCCCCAACCCCGCGTCGAGGCCCGCCTTTCCTGCGCCTGCGCAGAGCGCGTGTGGCGCCGCGCCTGGGCAGGGCCTGGTACCCGGTCGCCAGGTTGATTCTGCCCGACGGTGACTCAAGCCGCCTGTTGCCCCACGTCACATCCTGATGGAACTATTCATTTCATAGAGTACAACCTCTTCTAATCACGACCTAAACGCCCACGTTACCACCGCCCCCAGCTGCCCATGGCATGGGACCACAAGCACAACCTTACCGGCTCCCAGAAGCCTCCTGGCCCCTTATAGTCGGGACTTGGGCGCCCCTCTATTCAATTGCCCCTTACTCCTAATGGCAACCAGGAATCTACATCCCAACTGGAAATCCCCCCATCCAGAAGAAACTCCCTATAAGTTACCTACCCTGATGAAAACCAGGAGTCCCCACCTCAAGTTGGAACTTGATATTTCCTTCCTGATTGCAATAGACCCTTTTATGCCAATTGTGCAATTCCTGATGGTATCTATCATAATCCTCCCCATTACAGACATACATGTGCACATACACCCAGTCTCCAAGTGTCACCCCCATAATCCCTCCCAATCTGTCTTCCAAGATCAGGAAGCCCCCCAATGCCCTTTTGAATCTGCACCTATGAGTTTCACGCTGGAAAAAGTGGATTTTCACAAGGAGAGTTGGTTTCTAGGCTGTGGTGCCTGAGCATCCTCTTCTCAGGACCTCTGGCATGGTGTCCACTCCGCCCCCACACTTATGTGATTCAAGGTCAGGGCATGCACATGCCACTAGACAGTTCCCCTCCCCGACCCGACCGGTTTCCATCCTTGGATTTATCTCCCCTTGGGAGGCAGGAGACCAGGTTCCTGCTTGGCACTGGCTCAGCACCAACTCTGCTTGGGCTGCAGCAGTGCCCTCAGAAGAGGCCCTCCCTCTGTCTGGGCCCATTTCCCCAACAGGAAACAGAGGACAATTGTCACCAACTGAAACCCAGTCCTGGACCGGACACACAGTAGGCGCCCAATAAGTAAGTGAACATCATTAAGTCAATGAAAGACAGGGAGGAAAGGGAAAACAATTCTACAAACTGGGAAGAACCATGTCCCTATCAGCTGGGTTAGAGTGAGCACCCACAATGTAACAGGTCCTATTGTAAAACAGGGTGGTCCCCAGGAAAGGGGTAGGTTCCAGGTTTCCTGCCCCACCAAAGGGAGGGTGGAGCTGAGCAGAGAGAGAAGAAGCTGCAGAGGAGACTGAGGAAGGAAGGAAACAGGATGGAGAGCCACAAGGAGACCTGGAGGAGGCACATGAAGAAACTGCGCTTGCCTGTTGGTCGTGGACTGGTTGACACAGATGTGGGTGAGAGACCCGTGGGGAGGTGACAATGGCAGTTTTTGTCTTGATTTTGCTCTTTTCCTTCCAGACTTGTCTGGTTGTTTCCAATCCTTTTCTGTGGGGTCCCACTAGAAGATGCTTGAGACTTGTGGCAGGCTTTGGGCCTTGCTCTGGGCCAATCCCATTTGGATGGACTTTTACCCACGAGGGGATGGGTAACTTTGGGTGCTTGATTTAGAAACTGTATTCTTTGTCTTTCCTGTATTGTTTACTAATTGCATTAAAGTTCCTTTTTATTAAAGTCTCATGTTTTGTGTTGATGCGGCGGATGGCAGAACCTGTTCAGAGAAGGCAGGTTTGTGGGGTCTGGGGTGCCCCTCTCCATGCCCTGTAACACTGTGTTGAGCGCTTTTACATGTGAGATTTCATTCGAACAGCCTTTTAGGTGGATGTGAATTAAGTCCATTTCACACAGGAGTAAAACCGAGGCCCGGGAAGGGAAATATCCCAAGTGGCTCCTAGCTCTAAAATATGCTCTCTTCGGCTATGAAATGACACCTCTGTCAAGATCTCCCAGGGCCCAGTCCCCGCGCTAGTCCTCGTGTTCCAGGAATGCCCACTTGCCCCTACTTTCCGACTCTCGGCGGGGAACAGGAGAACTGCGCAGGCGCCTTTTTGAGTCCCGAGCCCCGCCCACAGGGCACAAATGTGTGCGTGGAGAAACTCGCCGAGCCCCGCCTGACCGTCAACACGCAGGCGCAAAGGCGCGTGCCCTCCGCCGCCGGCGCTGATTGGTCGTCACGGGTAAGGGTGCCGCCCAATGGGAGGCGTGGATAGTGAGGGGTCCCGCACGCCTGGAGCAGAGGGTCCGTGTCAAGAGCGGCGGGGGCTGCAGCAGGCAAGAGAGACTGGTGAGGGCGCCGCGGGGCGGGCGGGGGAAGAGAGCATTGGGCGTGCGGAGAGGGCGGAGGGAGAACGAAGGGGTCCGCGGGAGTCGGAGAGCTTGGGGCCTGCGCCAGGGCGGGAGCGGTGCGGAGTGCACAGAGCGCTTCTCCCTAGGTGCCCCTGAGCATTGATCGCGCCCTGAGGGATGGAGGACCCTGTGCTTGGGCTCGCTGCCCCTCCGCACACGCACGCACACCCCTTGCCGGGAGCGCGCGAGAGGCTGAGGAGTTTATCCGTCCGGTCGGAGAAAGGGGGAGGTGTAGCGGGAAAGTTAAACTCACAGGCCTCTGGTGGGTTCTTTCCTGGAAGAACTATTTATCTACTGTATAAAAAGTCCCTCTCCCGCCCCCAAGCGTTCACAGTCCAAGATGGGGAAGGAGACACTACAGGTCTCTTGCACGACCTTCTCGAGGGATATTTACTGTGTGCCCATTTTGTGTAAGCCCTTCCACCAGGCCTGGGGCCTCGCCCTAGGGGGAGTTCTCTGGAATGAGACAGTACACAGCATAAACTTGAACTCTCAGGCCACTCCATGGTTCACTACTGCCAGGAAGATCCTGGCTGTTGCTTGGCAGCTCTAAACTTAGGGAATAGAAATAAGGAGTTAAGGCAAGTTTAGCCCCTGGACTTTTAGTAAATCATTTACTCAAGGAGTATTTATTGGGCACCAGTTGAAAGCAGGACTCTGTGCTGGACTTTTATTGTGGGAATTCAGGGTCTAATGGGAGAGTTAATCTGGTGGGAGAGGTGGAGTGTACACAAGAAAGGGTGAAACTCAGGCCTCATTTCCTGGAGGGACCACTCTTCATTCCCTAGGTATCTACGGAGGGCCTCCCGTGTGCTCAGAAGTGTTCTTGGCAGTGGGAATGCATCTGCGATGAACAAACTAAAATCCCTGCCTTGTGGGAGCTTGACATGAACAACTTTTGTGTGCAAGGCTGTAAGCTGAACTCCTCCTACCCTTGGGCACTAACAGCTGAGTTAAAGAAGAAGTGGAGAAGGTAGGGGTTGGAGTCCAAGAATTAGCTCCTAGGTTTTCTGGGGAGGCAGTCAACTGCTGAAGGTACTCTGTGCCCTTGCTGTGTGAAGGGTCCTGGGTTGGGTTGAACTGGAAATGTGGAACTGGAAATGGGGCCCACAGAGGGAAGTTCAAAAGTGGAAATCTCTGTGCCTGGTCTGTGATTTTGTTGGTGACAGCAGCCACTACAATGAATCAGTCAGACCCTCTGCCAGAAAACTCAGTCCATTGAGGGGCCCAGAGACTCCATGGCTCATGATATTTGCAGTGATGAAGGTGACACCGGAGACCATAGGAACCCCAGGGAGGGAGGAAGTGGCCACCACCCTAAGGATATAGAGGGTGTCAGAAAAAGCTTAGCAAAGGATGCTGGGTAGGCATTTGCTAGGCAAGAAGAGGAGAGAGCTTTCTTAGCAGAAGGAATAACAGCATCAAAGGCTTAGGATCTAAAAGCAACATTTCTGGAGAACTTCAGGTAATTGTCATATCTAGTCTTTATCAAGCCCCAGAGTCTCCATGGCCAGAACTACTTTTAGCCTCAATTCACAGATGAGAAAACAGTCTCAGAGAGAGGAAGTAAGAAGTGGAGCTCAGATTCAAGCTCCTCTGCTTTGCTGCAGCTCTGTGTGTCTATGTAGAAGAAAATGCTGTACAGGCAGAGGCCGTGAGACCCGAAATCACGTTATGCTCATAGAAAGGTTATGTCTGGCCCTCTGGGGAAGGAAGGCAGCATCAGAGGCCAAACGGGGAGCTCTTCTTAGTTTGTCTGTCCTGCAGAAGCCCAGGTGCCAGCAGGAGGCATGTGTCACATTCGAAATTGGGGACTCACCAAGGACTGAGGTATAAACACTGGACCGAGACTTGCTGGTTGACAGTAGCTAGTGAGTGATGGGATAGGCACAGGGACTCCTGAGACACCTCCCCTCCTTTTGGGTTCTTACGGTCTCATCAGCCTGGCCCTTTTTTCTCTAGGGACTGCCCTCCCAGACAATGACAGAGGTGGTGGCTGAGGTGGCTGACATGCCAACACAAATGTCACCAGGGACCACAGAGGCATCAACACCGGTGTTAGGGCAGATGACAGAGATGTCAGCAGAGGTGACCGAGATGATGCCTGGGGAGGCCCTGGCCTCATCCCTCTTCTTCCAGCACCACCAGTTCATGTGCTCAGAGTGTGGCAACCTCTACAACACTCTGGAGGAAGTCCTCTCGCACCAGGAGCAGCATGCACCCACGGCCACAGAGGAAGAAGCGCTGGGCCCCCAGGACACCGGCCCAGAGATAGTGCCAGGTGGCATCCAGGACGGGCCCTTCCAGTGCTGTGAGTGCAGCCAGCTCATCCTCTCCCCTGGTGAGCTCCTGGCCCACCAGGACGCCCACCTCCGGGAGTCCGCCAGCCAGATCCAGTACCAGTGTGGGGACTGCCAGGAGCTGTTCCCCTCACCAGAGCTGTGGGTCGCTCATCGCCAGGCTCAGCACCTTTCTGCCACCACGGCAGGGCCACCAGAACCGCCCCCGCTGCCTCCTAGCGTGCCTCCGCCTCCGCCCCCTGCTCCACCTGAAGTCAAGATGGAGCCCTACGAGTGTCCCGAGTGCTCTACTCTCTGCGCCACCCCTGAGGAGTTCTTGGAGCATCAGGGCACCCACTTCGACTCCCTGGAGAAAGAAGAGCGCAATGGGCTAGAGGAGGAAGAGGAAGATGAGGACGACGAAGATGACGAGGAGACAGAAGAAGAGGAGGCAGCAGCGGAGGCGGGTGATGAGGCCGTGGGAGGCGACAAGTCCACAGCCGGCCGCACCCATAGCTGTGGGGATTGTCCCCAACACAGGACCTCAACAGGGGCACGCCGACGACACCGGCGGGCATCTCGTGGCCCAGCATCAGCAACCCACCCCTTCCACTGCAGCCAGTGCCAGCGCAGCTTCAGTTCCGCCAATCGGCTGCTGGCTCACGGACGGGCCCACGTGGGTGGCACCCACGAGTGTACCACCTGCTCCAAGGTCTTCAAGAAAGCAGCCTCCCTGGAGCAGCACCTGCGGCTGCATCGCGGCGAAGCCCGGTACCTCTGTGTGGACTGTGGCCGCGGCTTTGGCACAGAACTCACGCTGGTGGCCCACCGCCGGGCCCACACCGCCAATCCGCTACATCGCTGCCGCTGCGGCAAGACCTTCAGCAACATGACCAAGTTCCTGTACCACCGGCGCACGCACGCGGGCAAGAGCGGGGCACCCCCTGCAGCGGCAGCAGTGGCCTCCCCAGCTCCCGCTGAGCCCACGCCCCCGCCTCCGCCCCCACCACCCGCCCCACCTGTCCAGCTGCCCTGCCCACAGTGCTCCAAGTCCTTCTCCTCAGCTTCCCGACTGTCCCGGCACCGACGTGCAGTACATGGTCCCCCTGAGCGGCGGCACCGCTGCGGGGTGTGTGGCAGGGGCTTCAAGAAGCTGGTCCACGTACACAACCACCTGCGGACGCACACAGGTGAGAGGCCCTTCCAGTGCCACTCTTGTGGCAAGACCTTTGCGTCTTTAGCCAACCTCAGCCGCCACCAGCTGACCCACACAGGCGTGCGGCCCTACCAGTGCCTGGACTGTGGCAAGCGCTTCACGCAGAGCTCCAACCTGCAGCAGCACCGGAGGCTGCACCTGCGGCCTGTGGCCTTCGCCCGGGCACCCCGCCTGCCCATCACTGGTCTCTACAACAAGAGCGCCTACTCTTGTGGGACCTGTGGCCGCTGGTTCCGTGCCATGGCGGGCCTGCGGCTGCATCAGCGGGTCCATGCTCGAGCCCGGACTGCGACAACACAGCCACCCCGCTCACCGCCCCCCGCCCCACCCCCGCCCCCTGAGCCGCAGCAGACTATCATGTGCACCGAGCTAGGGGAGACCATTGCCATCATTGAGACCTCCCAGCCGCTGGCCCTTGAGGACACACTGCAGCTGTGCCAGGCTGCCCTGGGGGCCACTGAGGCCAGCGGGCTGCTGCAGTTGGATGCAGCCTTCATGTGACACAGCTGAAGAAGAGCAATAAAAGTTTGGTTGCCATGGCCATTGTGGTTCCCTTTGGGGGGCAAGGGGCTCACCCCCTGGCAAGCCACTCTGGCGTCCACTTATGTGCCAGGATCCACCCTGGCCTCTTCCCCACCGACTCCTCAGAACAACCCCGCCAGCTTTCTCTTGTCACCTTTTTCTGCCTGAAAGAAAACTGAAGCTCTGAGATGCGAGCTGATCTGTCCCAAGTCACCCGCCACACTACCCAGGGAAGTTTGCCAAGCCCTTTGCTCAGCAGCACCCGGGTGCCGGGCAACATCAGGTAACCTTTTCTGAGCCCTGAGCATGTGCCAGGTTGGAGCTGGGCACGGTCACCTATTTCTGGTCCTCTGCTTGTCCTCTCAGCCCTAGCCATCCCTGGACACCAGGCACCTAGGACCTCACTCCACCTGGTGGGAGAAAGCCACTGGACTTCTCTGGGGCTCCTTAAGCTCGTTTTTGGCGATGTGGAAGGAAATCTATAGGTATTGAGGTGCTCAACTGCAGACTGGGTGATGCTGGAGACCCAGGAATAAGTCAGACATGGGCTGTGCCCCCAGCAGGCGTGCGGGGTGATGGGAGGAACACAAGTACAGATGGCCTTGCTTCTCCAAGTGTGTCTTCATTCATTTGGCCTGGGTGTCCTGAGGCCACCCTCTGTGCTGGGTGATACCAAGAGCCAAAGATGAGTCGGGCCTCTACCCTACTTCTGGGGGACAGACAGCTCTCAGCCCCAGGTTCCTTAGGCTGTGGTGGGGATGGGCGGGGACAGTGAGAGGCCAGAGCAGCAGACCGACCTCCATGGTGGCAGATCTGGAGTCGGAGGCCTCCTAGAGGTAGCCCTTGAAAAACAGAAATCTGCTAGTGACAATGGAAGAGAACATTCCAACAGGCAGCAATGCAAGGAGGGTGAGTTCTTGGTATGTTTGGATACTGTCCAGTTATTCACAGCCCCAGTACAGTGGACACTGGACTGCCTAGCTGTGGCAGGCACTGCAGTAAGCGTTGTGTACTGTGATCCTATGGGCCTGGGAGGTGATCTCAGTATATTCTCTGTCGTACAGATGAGAAAACAGGGCCAGACTCGCCCGAGGTCTTGCAGCTAGGCGGAGGGGGTGCTGAGGTTTGAACCCAGTTGGTTCCTTCAGGCCGCGTCTGGGACCAGTGCCACTGATTGATCGTGACCTGGAACCCACGCAGGGCTGGTGGCTCAGGGCTTGATTAAGTGGAGGAAAAGTGAGCGGGTGTTACAGAGCCGTTGGGGATTGATGGGGCCTCAAAAGATCAAAGTTCTTGGGAGCAGGAAGGACTCCCCAAACTCTTTAAAGGTTATCTGGGATGACAATACCTTCCTCTCAAAGCAGAAGCCGGTGATTTATGGGAGGTCAGTGGGGCAGATGCTTCCCAGGCCTGTGCAGAGCAAGGTGCAGGCAGGAGGCAGCTGCAGCTCTGAGCTGTCTGGGCGGGAGGGTGGGTGATAAAGCAGAGGAGGAAGGAGGCCTAAATATGGGAAGGGAGAAGGGAGGGTCCTAAGTGGGGGCTAGGATGGGGTGAGGGAAAGGCTGGAGAGGGAGAGAACAGGGCCAGAGCTGGGCGGAGACCATGGAGGTGGGAGGACAGTGAGGGGCACCTGGCACATTCCCGATGTGAGCAAGGGGAGGAAGGGGTCCCCCAGAGGCCAGGATCTGCCCCTCGCCCAGTCTGCTTGCTGTGTGCACGTCTTAGGAATGAGGCTAGTCTTTGGAATGAGGCTACATTGCCTGTTGCTCAGTAGGGCGGGCCAGGGAGGTAATGATGCCCCTGGGGCCGGCCTTACTGATTGCAGAGCCCAGATGCCAGAAGGCCCCTCTGGGGCACTGGTAGATTCCAGTGAGGGGAATGTCAGTTGCTCATGGCCCCCTTCCACTTCTGGAGCCTTCTGCACTCACCTACAGTTGGCACTGAGCAGAGAACCCTTTCCTTCCACCCACGGACCCCCCCATCTGGCCCCGGCATGTTTTCACAGTGAAGGAAAAAAGCCATGCTCTCTTGCTCCCCAGCATCCCTGAGAGGTGGGCCATGTAGTGTGCGCTGCCACCTAACAGAGAAATGGAGCTTTGGGCATCTGCTGGGATTCCAGGACAGCCTCTGCACGGGTGGGAACCCAGGCCCTCTAAGAATCTACACCCAGGCTGTTTTGATCTGAGTCACTGTCTCATCCTGTGTCCTCTGGACCCTGAAGTAGCAGACAGCTCAGAGTGTGAGACAGTCCTTTGTTGAAGTCTGGTGCTGCCATAGGCACTATGGCCTTGACTTCTCTGGTGCTCTCAGCATCACCTGGGGTGACAGGGCCTCCCTCTGTAAGTGGAAACAGATGTCTGCTGGATTCCGGGACAGGCTCCTTTCCCCCACCTGCAGCGGACAAGCCAGCCCCAGTCACGCCGGGGACAACCAAGGCAGGAAGGCTGAGCCCCTGTACCAGGGCCGGGACTCGGGCCCCGGGGGAGGCAGCCTGTGCTCCATATATCCCGCCCCTGCCTAAGCGTCAGCCCACTCTTGTCCCAGAACAGCCCCGGCACCTCCCTCACCTCTGTGGAAACAGGCAGCCAGACAGGGAGCAGGTTTTCATGCCAATAATTTATTGAACGGAGGTCTGTACACAGGCAAACCTTACTGTGGAAACTAAGACATCAGGAGCTCCCCCACCGCCCCCCAGCCCTCCAGGGTGGGGAGAGGAGGGAGAAACCAAAAGGGCAGAGGACAGGAAAGGGGTCACAGCTGTAGAAGGGGAGGGACCAGGTTGGACGGTGCGAATCGACATTTTCTTTAAGAAAAAAATTATAACAATCTATTTACACCCGGGGGCCGAGGGAGGAAAGAAGAGATGAGCACGGCTGGTTCTATTTACAAGGGACATGGGCAGGGAAGGGTCTGGAAGAGGTGGAAGCCTGGGGGGAGGGTAAGGTAGGGGACCAAGGGGGTACGGGGGTCCTTGTGCCCCCACAACCCCCTGTCCTTCCGTCTCTTCCCTCCCCACAACCAGTTAAAATCCTCTTAAAAAGCCCACCGTAGGGTGAGGCTGGTGAGGGAGGGACTGGAGGTGGGGACAGGGACTCATTTACCTCTGCCCTCTAGGGGCCTAGCCAGGGCAGGAGCTGGATGGGCTATGGCCCCCCCCTTCCCCACTTGGGGCTCCCAGATGGAAGGGTTGTTGGTGGGGCCCTCAAGAAGCGCTAGTGAGGGGAGCTGTTGCATCGGTGGACTGCCAGTCCGGGCTGGTCTGAGCCTCACTTAAAGCTGCTGGGGAGAGGGAGCAGACAGTTAGCCCAGCTCTTCGGAGGCCCCTCCACCACCACCACCAAGAGCAGAAAGTCAGTGGGAAATGCCACATGGAAGTTCCAAGCTGTCACTTTAGGTCCAGGCAAGCCCACATGCCAAAGGACCAGGCTGGTACCAGGCTGAGTGATATGCCAGAGAGCCAGGCCCCACAGAAGAGGGGACAGCTAGAACTCAGCTCGATGACAGGGCTACCAAGTATGATATTCTTCCAACAGAAATTGGAAATCTGCATTGTCAACAAAACGGCCCCAATTTTTACATGTGGGCAACAAATTCGGCTGGGTGTGTTTACACAAGCCAAACACCTTTCTCTGGTCTTCCAGATCTAGGCAGTCATGTCCCACACAGGGGGCCATTCACATGGCCGAAAACAGGCTTTCTACGCCATGCAAACAGCAGTGTTTCAGATATCTGCGGGAACCGCAGGGCTGTGAGAACACGCCCACCCCCCAGGCTGAGAAATGCTGCTTCAACCCACAGTAAGTGGCCCCAACTTACCTTGTGAGGTTGGGGTAAGGGGAGTACTGCCCGCCGGGGACCGCAAGTGAGGAGGGATGAGAATGGCATTGAGAGATGGTTGGATGGAGAGTTCTAGAGACAGGAATGGACACACTCAGTCAGTGGACAGGGCCGGGTATCTGGAGACTCAGCTGGGGTTAATAAGAGACACCAAATGGGGGCCTAGCTATTTGGCAAAGCCTCCTTTGGATGGTTATCTTCCAAACCCTTTCCAGCCCCCTCTTCCTGCCTTGAAGGTGGGCACCGTCATCCCGACCAACAGGAAGAGACACAGAGGCCCTGGGAGCAGGTCACACCATGGTGACATACAGCAGCTGGACTCTTTGAATGAAAAACCAGCAAGATGGCAGAGCGTAGGTGAATAGGCTGGGCCCTCCCCAAACCTGGGGGCTTCTCCCCAGCCCCCGCTTAGAGCCCCCGCCCAGCCCCCAGCCCTTGTCTCCAACACCAAGCTTTTCTCACAATCTTGGCTGCCCCTCCAGCCTCAGACCCCAGGCTGTGCCCTCACCGCCAGGACTGAAATTGAAGAGGGGCGGAAGTGGGCGGTTGTTGGGAAGCTGGGTTCCGGGACATCTCAGTTCGTCAAAGAAGCTGTGGGCACACGCTTCCAGCGGGGACAGCCTGGAGGACGGCGTGTACTCCAGCAGGCTTGAGCAGAGCGCAATGGCCTCAGGCGGCGTTCGGGACTTGAACACCTGGCAGGGGAGGTCACCAGAGTGAGACACCCCAGTGCTGGTGTACTCGCCTCATTGCCACAGGGACCATGGCTTTCCACAAACCCCCTTTCCAATGGGGAAACTGAGGTCTGCCCACCGAAAGAAGGTCAATGTAGATCTCAGCCCTCCCCGGTCCCATGACTGAATGGCCCTCGCCATGAGCCTGTTTCCCCCCACCGAAAGACTTCCGAATTTACTGTGGGTCCTCAATTGTTACAGTATGGAAAACTCGGGAAACTGAAATCTGATGAGTTACTGACCGGCTCCCAAGCCATGCCTCTGTGGCCAGGTCCCCAGACCAGTCAGTCTCCAATGGGGACCTCAGCCATGCTGCCTGCGACCCCAGCCCTGCCCCACCTTTGTCCAGGGGTGAGCTTTAATCTGAGGGAACTTGAACTCCGTGTAGTTGGGGTTCATCTCTCGGATCTGTTCCCGGGTTGGCGTTCCCAGCACCTGCAGGGAAAGTGGGGAGCGGAGGATCTGAGCGCAGGCCCCCATCCCTTATCCCCATCCCTGCCCACCTGGCCTTGCCCTCACCTTGATGATCTCCACCAGCTGGTCCACCCCACTGTCCCCGGGGAAGATGGGCTGGCCCAGGAGAAGCTCAGCCAGGACGCAGCCAGCTGACCACACATCTGGAAGGAAAGGGAGGATGATCAGGGCCACCACACCCATTCCCTCACACCCATTTCTATCAGTCACCCTGAGAAGAACCCCATTCTCTCGGCTCACTGAAGGTCATATCTGGCTTAAGAACACTAAGCCTGACTGAATCTCCAGACCAGTCAAAACCACTGCCCCTTCCTTCTAGACTTGTTTCCAGTACAACTCCCTCTCTGCGCAGGGACCCCACTAAGCATTTTCTCTGCCCTTCACCTTGCAGGACAGGCCATCAGGCCTAGGCCAGGTACCTGTGTGCCGTGGGCTTCAGGGAGTTAAAGTATTAAGCACTGGACTGCCTCACTTGCTAGCCTCTGCCCACAGGCACAGCTGCAGTCGGGTATTCCCACCCCTCCCTGGCCTGTACACCTTGACCCCCACAGCACAAGTTCACACCGAAGGGTCACGCAGCTTTATCACACCGCTGAAGGAAGTTCTCTTCCTAATCTTTTCACACCCTCTTGTGTCTGGAAGGTGGCAGCAGGTCACACCCTCGAGGTGACAAAGCCTCGCCTCTGACTCCCCCAAGGTCACAGTTAGTCCCTCCCCCTGGCTGAGAACAGAGGCTGACGGGGAGGTTCCAGAGCTGCGGCGGACTCTGGTCAGGTCAGCTTTCAAAGCAAGGCCCTGCCCAGTGCCCGTGGTGCAGCTGCAGGAGGTACCCTGTGCCCTAAGCCTCAGGAACGCAGGCAGACACGCCATCGCCCTCCAGAGTTTGTGAGGACTGGATAAAAGAACAGATGTTAAGCTTTTATCACCAGGCCGGGCAGTCAGCACATGGAAAGAACAAACTGCCATGACTGCGGCCCCCACCCCCACCTCCCTAACTGACCGATGGACGAGGTGTAATCAGTGGCTCCGAAGATCAGCTCTGGGGCCCTGTAGTAGCGAGAACAGATGTAGGAGACGTTGGGCTCACCCCGGACCAACTGCTTTGCACTGTGGGAAGAGGCGGGTAGGAGTAAACATAAAGCAAGAGGTGGGGTCCCTCCTCGCCCCTACAGCCACCCAGCACTCCCAAGTCGGGCCCACCTGCCAAAATCGCAGAGCTTGAGGACAGCCGTGTCAGGATCCACCAGCAGGTTCTGGGGCTTGATGTCACGGTGACACACCCCCTGGGAGTGGATGTAGGCCAGGCTCCGGAAGAGCTGGTACATGTACACCTGGGGCGGGCAGGGTTCAGCGGAGCTGCAGCCCAGCACGCCCCACACACACAGCACACACCCTATTCCACCCCAGG